TAGAAAATGTCTTTGCCATTATAAGTATATTTTACCATCTTTTGCAATTGAATTTATTCATGCGCATTAAAGGTGAAAATTTTGAATGGCGAGCCTGCGGAAAAACAAATAGCTACCAATATCAAAAATGAAAATAGTATCAACTTCATTTTACCTGATGGTAATGCATATAGAAACCTATTGTTAAAAGCTAAAGCAAGTTTAGAATTACGTTGCGATCAGGTCAACAATGATCTTGATAAAGGTATTCACTTTCCTCGTTTTAGGCTGCAGTTCATTCTAACTCATACACAGTCACTTTAAAAATTTCATCCATTTGAAGTGCTGTTGATCAGTATTATTACTTATTTTTTCTTCAGAAAAAAACATGCCTGAACAAACTGCAGGATCTCTTCGTATAGCAGTTGGGATGGCTAATCTATTGCTGCATAAAAAGATGAAGAAATTTGATGATCTTGTCAAAAGACACCTGGTAAAACTTTCATTAATCGAAAACTCAATTAGAAGCATTATTTTGTATCTTTTTTCTCCAGATTGGTAATAATATTACCGCTTTTCTCATTAAAGCTAATAATGATTGCAATACTGTTGCTGTTATCATAAGTTGTTATTTATATCATTGAGTTTAATGGATTGTGTTTCATTTTACGAAAAAAAAAATACATTATGCTAATCTTCTTTACTGTGAGATAAACTCTTTTAGGGAGAGGGTCCAGATAATTTACCAGAGGTTAAAATCAGCGACCTTTCTGGTTATTGGGCTCTAATCAGTATAGAATTAGATGAACTGGAGAATCAGTTTAGGAAAATCGATTCGCTTCGAGAAAATGGATGGATACTGGAACCAGAAGTTCCTATAGTAAAGTAAGTTGTGTTTAGACTAATGGAGTTGAAGGGACATCATAATTTCAGTCTTTTTTAAGATTATTATCTGGAGCATATGATTTTCTATGTAAATTTACTTTTAGTTTCTTATGCGGTCAATTTTTGGAGTTTAGGATTTCAGTATTAAGTTGAATAGAAGGTTCTTCTTGCGGAAATGTTGATTTATTTTATTGTTGTGGAAATGTTGTTTGATTTTGTTTTATTCTTGTGGAAATGTTGATTGTTCATATCAAAGTACAGTCTTGAATAAATCTTTTTCTAGAAGTACAGTTAAAAGTCGCAGTAAAATGCGGCCTCATTTTACTACGATAAATAGCGAGAAAGCAGCGTTCGAATCTCATAGTCGACACATAGCTTTGCTTGCAGCAAAGCGACGTCAAAAGAAGTTGCTTGAAGCTGAAAAAAACAAGTGTTTTGAATTGAAATGATCGTACTGCCTCATTAATTTTCAGGCAGTCTTAATTTTTAGTCAGCCAAATTATTCAATGTTTTTTCGTGATATCCTTATCAGATGTGATGGAAGTAAAACGTTGATTGTAGAAAATATCATTTACAACATTACAATAATCGTAGATAAGGAAGTTTTATTATGTTTTACCTGCTCACTTTGTCTCACACCTCTTTAGTTTGGTCGAATTGTCTATGATATCAGCTGTTTTCGTTTTCTTTTTTGTCAATTGTTAATTAATTAATTGAAATACGGAGTGAAGCGTCATTATATTGATGTGAGCACCAGGAGTAATGTGCAGCACTGAGTGATAGAAGCAGAGATGTAATTTAATTTAATAGCATGATGTTATTAATCTGAACAAATTTAGTAATAGCAATACTTTGATCGAAATTTTTGTAGTTTATGCAGTATATCGAAAAAAGTTTTGTTTTCATGAAGTAGCAATAAATGGCAAGAAATTTAACGTTTTCCATCTTCTTTGAAGTTTAAACATGTGCCATTGGTATGTGGAATAACGAGATAGTGGTTGATAATGAGAAGTTGTTTTCTCTTTTTCATTTAACTTTTTATTCTATCATCATTATTTGTTTATCAGCTCCAGTGGATCCCTTGGTCGGTCATTTCATTTGTTTATTGTTGTTTGGTCAGAGCTTTCTTCTTTTAGAATATGTTATTATAGCCTAATTTAAGTGAGAAGCAGTCGTTTGGTAATTTTAAATTGCTAATATCAGTTATATGCTTACGGTCAGTCGATGTTTCTAATCACAAAGTATTCACATGTTTTTGCTACTTTTTAATTACTGCAGTACTTTTCATAGCGCAATTATTTCGCGAAATCCGATTTTATGATCGGAAATGTGTTTCCGTTTTCATTTATAAATTATGGAAATGGATGTTCATTTTTCGATTGCAACGTGTCATGTTTAACTCCTATATTGTCAAATATATTTTTATGTCCTGTGCTGCTCATTCTATGGTTTTTGTTACATTCATTTCTGGATCGATTTCGATAAAATATTGCAGTGAAGTATGATAAGTCTTTATTTATAAAGTTACTGCGTGATTTTATTTGATAATGAGACTGGATTATTTATGCAGTGAGAAAGAGTATATTGCATTTTCGTATATTTTGTATATTAAAATTCATTCAATAATTTGTTAGTTGGACTGGATGCATGAAAAGTCAGTCGTATAAAACTTGTGCTGCTCTTATAGTATTTTCTATTAACTTGTCGTTTATGTTCTTACTGTAAAATTTTTAACTTTCTAGTTCAGCTTTACCTGATATTAAAAGAGATTTTATACTCAACAACTTTGCTATTTTTGACTTTATAGTAGTTAGATGTTGTCTGATGTCGATTTTTGGTTGATATATTATCAACGGTACGAAAGGTTCTGGAAATATCAGTCTGCTGCTGTACGGTGGTTGGAGGTGCATCAAGTAGCCCGTAATCGTGTGTCGATTAAACCTAGTGGTGTGTCGGTAAATTCTGTTGATGTAGACGGAAGTTCTTCAAATGAATGTAGTAAAGTTCAGGGAAAGGAGTGTCTAGGCACGTATGTTGTCAATTTATTGTTCATGTTTTCTAAGTATGAGTTTTTTTTCTTTAGTTTATGAAGTTGTACAGCTATTAAGCATTCCAATTCCTTGGAATTTTCAGGCTAGTTTCCATAGTTATGTATCCGGGCGTCATACTGTATGGATTGGAAATAGAGGCCTGAAAATGATAGTAATATTTTGTAATAATTTTCCTAGATATCAGTTTGTTAGCAGGTCATTTAAGATGGATTCGTTTGGTCCTACTTCTGTGGCAGTAGGGTAAATTTGTGTTAATTACACTTGAAAGTATCATAATTTTCTTGAAAATTGTTTCAGTGCAGGACAGCAATTCTGGATCAGTATGGGATGTGGAACAAACAGTACCTTTATCAAATGCAGATGAAGATATTGGAATGAGTGAAGAGATGGCCAGTTTTTTCCGGAAAACAATCGAGCATAGAAAACAAAGTAGTTATTTGTTTTTTTTTTTATCTGATGAAAGCAAAATGTAATAGTCATTCTTGAAAATGACCAGTGTTTGCACTTTATAATTCTATGGCAGTTTTTAACGTAGCATCGTTTAAGTGTGAATGTTTTTTCTTTTCAATCAGTATTAAAAGTAATAAATGATAGCTACGTAATGGATGGAGTGATTCTGTATGTAAAATGTTTAATATTTAGGAGATGCTGATCGTAATATGGAAACCAGGAAAAGAAATGGTGATTGGCTTGATACAGAAGAATATGTGATGGCTGATAAGAGTAAATGTTTCATTTTGCTTTATAATAAAAGTTGTTGTTGATACCAGTTTCTGATTTAATCTTGGGAAACGAATAATTTATATTCACTAGGATCACTCTTTTCATTTTTGAAAATTATTACTTTGATAAATAAAATTCTGATATTCGTAGTACAAAGAGAAGTTTGTGAAGGATATTTTCAGTAAAAAAAATGTTTGTATGGAATATATTTCGACATTATTCAAGATCCGCAACTTTATATCTTTCACTGCATTATTTTTATAGTCGGAATATATGGATATGGTTGGCGATCACTGAACCAACCTGATGGGCCTGCAGAGAAACAGAAAAAGTTACATACAATGAGGAAATTATATGGCAGTAATGCTGAAAAAATCTCAGCAATGGAAGCACATTTGGATCTTCGATTTGAACAGAATTACTCTCAATCTGGTGCTCTCTTATGGCCCAATATCCCATTAAAATTTTAGTTTGAAGTCTGTGTAAAATTATTGCTGAAACGCATGAATTCATTATTCTCGAGTTATGGAATGATTTATGAATAAAACGTCATCCATAGTGAAAAAATGAAGTGCTGATTGATCCATAGTGAAGTAATGCTGATTTGTACGCAAAAAACTGCAAAATTTCAAACAAGTTATCTTCAAAGCGTAAAATTTGCATAAAATATTAATTTCAGCTTGTTGAAAATATTTGTATTTAGCTTGGTTCCATTCAGTTTATCAAACTTTGATAAATGAAAATATTAAGATTTTGAGTTTGAAAGTTATAAAGTAACTGTTTTTAAATATCTAGTAAATGTTAGTTTTCCTATATTTTTTGATGACATGTTGTTTGAAATTGATGTGAAAAATAGTATGTCATAAAGGTTTTCCTTACTGAATCTGTCAAATTACTGCGAGTCGTGAAATCGGTTATTTACGGAAGGAATGAAACTGTTATCATCTACTTATCCATACTTTTTTTGAAATTCCGATATCTTTTATGGACGCTTTGCTAATAATGTATCTTGTTAGCAAAATTGTGATGTGATTTCTACAAAACTGCATTTTCATTTGTTGTGTTTTATAATCACTGGTGGTGTGGTCAGTGATTCTTATGATCGTTTTAGATTGTTAAAAACAGTTGATAAAATGGGTAAGCGGAAAAGATCAGAAATGAACACAGAAATCTACTCAAAAAAAAAAAAGTTTCAAGACAATACCAATGTTGAGGATACAGATTTAAATGCAGTAGATCCGGCTTTGTTGGAAGTACGTGGTTGGCAAAATGTTGCTACGTGCAGTAAGTTCAAAGTTGGCATGAGTCGATACGTTGGTTTGAGTTATCGGAAGGCGAAGAAGTACGTTTGTTTCTCGCTTCAAATGTGGTTTTCCTGAAGTGCGTAGGAAGCAACACTTTTAAGGAATTAGATTCATCCAGTTTTATTTCGCTTCTCATTGCAATTTCCAAACTTGGTTTAGATGTTTAATCATTAGCTTTTGTTTTGCTAATTACATACTACTATGAAGTTTTACTATTGTGCACTTAATTGGTATCATTCGAAATTCTCTATTCTTAGAATTATGGCTAGCGATACAAATTGCGATTTGCTTCTCGAGATAGAAAAACGTCATATAACACTAGGGTGGCATCTATTAGGAAAGGCGAAGAGTGCTATTAGTTACATCTTAAAATGTTCGCTTGGTCAGTATAGAGATTCGTAAGTTTCTAGTTAAATATATGGATTTTGCGAACAAAAATCATAATCTCTTTATGAACAAACTAATAATTTACGTTAAGGAAATTTGAGGGCACTTCATAGCATCGGAATTAAAAATTTCTTTTTCTAGACATTGATATCCATAAATTCAAATTATTTGCGTGAATTACTTAAGTTTCGAACTGTTTTCATTATTACTTATTTTAGATTAAATGGTGTTTTGTTATCTATTGGGAAAGCAAAATATGTTGATTATCCTTTGTGTATCGCAGATCAACCGTGCATGCACATAGATCTCAACGTGCATTGTATTGTTTTCCGTCCCAAAAAAGATCATGTTTATGAATGCTCAATAACAGCCATTGATAAGGTATTTTAACTGCGAAATTATTGGAGATATTTTAAAGTGTCAGTTTTCTAGTTGTAAAAACTTTACCGAAGTCCGTTGATTTTCTTGCAATTCCAGCTTTTTTTTCAAAATAGCCAACTTAGTTTATCGTAAAATCTCTCTGTATGTTAATTAGGCATGCACTACAATTAGTTTTAGTGATGAAACAAAATTTTACTCTCTGGATTATTTCTAAACCAACTTGACTGTTATATTTTCTTTATGTTAGTATTTGTTTCACTTTTTTATTGCAGAAGTTTATCACAGCAAAATTGTACAATACGATAACATTTTTTGCTCCTATAAAAGATGGAAAAAAGTGTTTCATTATTCGTGAAAAGGTGCTTATCAAGTTTTCCCACATCGAAATCAAAGGTTCACTGTGTCAAATGAAAGGAACGATCGCATAATTATTCATTATTCTTTTATCGATAAGTTACTCTTTTTTGCGTTTGTTCTTACGCATACGGGGTTTTTAGTTTTTGTAAACATTCCCCTCACATTTCGATTGTAAGAATCGTGCTTACTGGAATGTTTATTTCCTTGCAATGATCTATGTTGGTATCATTAAATGCTGATTTTCTGAAATAATATTTAACAGTGAATTTTGAGTTACTTGCCGCTCAATTTTAGAAAACTAATAAGGAAGCTATTTATAGTTCCGGTGCGATTTTTGAGGAGGTACTTAACTACGTTTTTAATGACTGTTCTCAGACAGTATGCAGTAACAAATATCATCGAGAGAACCCTTCTGCTAGCGTGATAGAATTTATGCTGGTTGTTGCACTAATTTGTTCATCATTTTTATACGATAAAATACATTAATTCCATCTTTTCTACGTAATCAGGCAATAACTTTTGGACTGAAATAATTTCTGATTTCAGCAAAAATAATTTAATTGGCGATATTTAGTCGATAATCGCCTAGCAAGTAATGGGCCGAAACATTTGAACCAACTAGAATGTGTACTGGGGCTATCTGTGTTTGTATGTGTAGAAAAAAATGGATTTAAAGTTTGTAATAACGGATAAATATGATAAACATCTTATCGTAATACCCGTTTGTTATTCGGTTAACACAAAACAATGACCCACATCATTTTTTATCTGTTAAAATTTGATAGAATTTAAGTTTCACGATTTCATAAATTTAAAACAAGAAATTTGAACAGTAGTGTATTTCAGATGTAAGATTAATAGTAACTGAATCGAAGTGACAGTTAATTGCTTTTCTGTTTTTTATTTGATTTTCTTTACTCAGATTTATTGAGGACGACGAATGAATAATTCGGTAGTGCTCAATAAATCCAATTATTGAAAACTTGCTAAGTAAACAATTACCTCAACATGTTTGTTAAGTGAACAGAAGAAGCGCTTAATTTGCAATGATTTCGTTTGGTAGCAGTACCAAGCAAAATTCGTGAAATTGATCTAAATCAAAGTAAGATATAAATAGAACTAGTTTTATTTCAGAGAGCATTAGCATGCGGGCGTTGGATGCATGCTTAAACGGTAATGAGTCGTTCTATGGAAACTGTTTCCAATTATCGCCTTCATTTTATCTGGGTAATTTAACCAAACTTCTTGACATCTCAAAAACAATTGCATACTGCAAGAAATGGTAGTTATCAGCTCACTAGTTGGTAACACAGTTTCTCAAAATAGGTACGAAATACACACGGAAGAAACTTTAATTCATCCTCTCATCAAACGCAGCATTATCTACTTCAGATCAAACGTCAAGAAATGTTAACTGCATATACCTCTTTGCTTTCCTTATTTCAACATAGATTATTAAACTTGGATCATTTGAACTACAACATTAACATGAGCTGCATTTTTTTCTTCTGAAAACTTTAAAATTTTAATTTCACAACAAGACGTGGATTATTATGATTAGTGCCAGAAAAGAAGATTGTCTTTAAAATATATTTAAAAATGTTTGGATATGTTGCATCTTTTTATGTTTCCTAATCTGCTATCTTTCACGTAAATACATTTATATGGCTGCCAAACGTGCTGTGAACAACAGCAGCTATTACGTAAGCGTGTTTATAGCTCTCAACAATTAACTCTGGTTTATTAAACTGATGCTAGAATAGTGTTTGAGTGGAGTTGGAAAAGCATAAGATTACGTGAAGGACGTAAATAGGGAACCGAAAGAGTGGGAAAAAGAGAAGTGGCAAGCAGCCCGATTGTTATCTTTAAAAATATCCGCGTCTTTCTGTAGACAGTGGAGAACAGCAAAAATTTTGACGCTAATCTCTTTCTCTCTGAAACATTATCTGGCAATCTATTTACATTTAATACTTATTTGTCTCTGGCTGCCTGTGTCTGGAAAGTGCGTGATAGAATAGATCCTTTCACGTAAGCAGAAAGTGTAATTTTATAAATGTACATGAACAAACAAACACTTATAATATCAAACAAGTGTAAAGTTAATATGGCACATTGGTACATCAACTTTGCTAGATGTGATTTGTTTGCTTTCACTTGCAAGTATATGTATGTAGGTGCATACGCATACGTCTAAAAGTGCACGTATGCGTGTTCATGAACATAGCTTCTGTTTCGCAGTTCACGTGGTTTCTTTTTAACGATGTGTTACAGCTTCTTTTTTCTGCACAATGGATGTAATTCATTATTTATACACACGAGTCTGCGTAAGAGCGAACTGTTGTTAGCAATACATCATTTCCACTCATGCGCATGTGTAGTTAGCTTACCGTTCATACAGTTGTGTTATTGTCTATGCAAAAAAATATGTGAGCGTGCATAGCAGACTGTTGTACGTGTGTATGCATAGAGTACTTGCACAATCAGACAGATGTTGCTTGTGTGCACCGTTAATTTGTACTGTTCTTCGAGTACCCTCAGATGCTCTTTGATTATTTCATTCGTTACTTGTCAATGGACGAAAAGCAAGGAAGAATAGGCGCGTTTGTTGGCCAGCTCATTTATGGAAAGATTCACCCGCTTATATTTTCATGATCCACCTAAAAATCCAGAAAAATTGTTTTTAGGTGTGAGTGAGCATTTGTGTTACTTTTCACTGATGTTAAATTTGCAGGTGGCATGCTTGATGTATTTTTCATCCTGACGTCTTCACGTAATGTATTATGCATCTGTCCCAGTCCTGATAAATCTGTGTTATTTTGATATTGAAATTATGAAAAGCCAAAAAATTCCACTTGTATTTTTAAATCTTCTCAATTTATGGATATTTCTAATTTCACTGAAAATAATGAAGATTTCTTTTAATGTAAGGAGACGATAATTATTGTCTCGTATTTATGCTTCAGATTATATGGTATTTTTACGTTTCAAGCGAAATATCTAGACTTATTTTAGCTTTCTTATGTTTTTTGTTGCATCTATCTTTGCCTTATATTTTCTGTGTCTTATAATCCAATAAAATTCGATAACTGCCAATAATGTAAGGTAGCCGTTCGCTGCTTGTTTACGGAACTAAATTACTGTTTATTCCATTGCGATATTTTGTGAACTTAATTGAAATGATGTTTAGTTGACTAATCTTAATTCTGCTAAAATGTTTTCATTTTCTCTCACTCACCATTCAAGCTTTCAGTAAAATACTGAGTGCTTATGATAATGCAGAAGTTACCGAAGATGAAATATCTGCAGACTGGTGAACTAATTACAAGCAAATGAGTTGTGTTTCCTTTGATAACAAAATGGAATCATCCAGATTAGACAATAAAATCAGTTGCTTAAATCGGTCGTAAATTTCGTATTGCCGGCAAACACGTTGTTTATGCGAGCAACAAAAAATGCTTTTGCTACAAAAGTAAAAATTTTGTGCAAGCAAATATTCCAAATCACTATGCCTTATTTTACACTTTCTTTCCCATTGTTCAGTTCATCTCTTATTATTCAGGCAAATATTTTAGCATATGTTTCGTCCTTCAACAATTGATAAGGATGAGATCAGAGTCAGTACGCGAGTGAGAATTGCAATCAGAATAAAAGCGGATCGACCCGGATATCATGATACAGTTGACATCACTAATCAGCACAGGTTTACAGCAGTCGAGACCGAGAAAAATTGAAAATATGACCTACATGCTAATAAGTTTGGGTCAGAGATGAAATGCAGAACCAAAATAATACCTATGTGATGACTTAGGAAGGGATAGTGACGAACTTCCACAAACGCTATGCGAAGGAGATCAATATATCTGATCACGTCGAGGCATACATCCAATCGATGGTTCTTAAGAAGACGCTCGAAAGCATCTTCCCCGACAATCGATATGGATTCCACGAGAACGAAGCGAAAACGATAAAAGTGAGCGCAGGACAAGTACTGCCAGAGTGCTGAAATGCGATCCAGCGCAGAACCAATAAAGCGAAGATTAAAACTAACTTCCACATTTGGATTATGTATATTTCACAAATTCAATTTCGTTAGACCAATTGTTCTTAACACTTTTTAATTTGCTCTCCTTATTCGCCCGTATCTGTAGTAAAAATCTTATTCGTGAAGATATCTTTTTACAGACAAGTGATTTCTTGTTGGTAATCACAAATTTTTGAAAAAAACTTAAATGTGATGATATTGATGATAGTGAACGTAAAAGGATCGTGAAATTGTAGATTAACGTATGAGAAGGGATAGAAGCTACTTTGACATTTGTATAATGTATCCTTCCTGACAGCGTATCTTCTCATGCGTATATCCGAAACAAAGATATCAGTTGTCGCACATCTCAATTAATTGTTTATAATGTTTTCAAACAGCAGCTAATGAGAACGGTTCGAACATTAATTAACATATTCAATCGATGAGGCGATGATCAGGAGATAGTGCTGTAAATATAAAGATATTAGTAATGATCTATCTGGTAATGAGTGATAATAAGTGAGAGAAATGTTAGTAACAATAATACTGGTAATGGCAGTGGTTTGTAGTGATAATTACACAGAGGCTATGGCAGTGGGTGTAAGGACAAAAAGAGTGGTGATAGTAATGTTAACAGTATTAATGATGTTGGCATTTGCTGAGTAAACCAGCAATATCGAGTTGTTCTAGGTTTAGGCTTTGTTGAGCAATATAATGTTAGGGCTTGTAAGTGTGTATAGCGTGGTGGTGTGATGGAAGCAAGTGAATCACTTCGTGAAGCAGTTTCTTGAGGTTTTGGGTAGGGAAATGTTCGGTTAGGTTGGCGAGTGAGTGCATCTTCTGTCTGAGAGAGAATTTCTTGGGTGTTTCAGGCGGCAATTGAAGAAGGAAGTCTTTGTATATTTTACTTTAGGGGCATAATGGGATAGAGGCTTGCATTTTGATTTGGCCTTAGAAACAGCATTTGTCGCTCTGATCCCCTTCGTTTCCTTCGGATGACTGGACGGGAGCAGGCAGATGCTGCAGGGCGGACTGAAATGCACTCTGGCGTGCAGTGGTCAAATGCTGAGAAAGCTTTATCGAATTAGTGTTTTATCCTAGCAGTTTTTGAGACAGAATTCGCAGACATACATACATTTGAGTGGTAGCTAGTGCAGTTTGCAAGAGATGAGAGGGAAAAGAGTGGAGGTTGGAGTGAAGGAAAACGAGGTGTATATTATGTTTTGTGGATCGATATATATGTCTGTATATAGATGCACGTTCCTGACTCTAATTCTTGAATGACGAAGGAAGTTGGAAAACGAGTTAAGCGTTATAAGGCGTCTTTTCTCTTACATTCAATCTCTGGGTCCATTTCGGTTTATTTGATCTTCTGGAGCGACTCACTGGGTTTACTTGTGTCTTTCACATCCAGGAGGTGCTGGACGAATAGTGCTGCAAAACAATCAGTGACTTTACTGGCATTTACTCATCATTAGTTCTCTCATCTACACTTGTTATTGTTATCAGCAGAAGTTGCGATGTGACGTTACTACAGTTATTTGGAGTTTAATCGGTTGCAAATTGAATCTTTTCAAATTTGCATTAATTGAGATCTCAGCATGAGCATGGGGAATCGGAAATGATCTCTTTCTTATGCTTCTTTGATCAACAAATTATTGTTATGAAATTTATCTGTATTCAGAAGCGAATGAAGTTAAAAGCATTTCTTTACAAAGTTATATTGACTTATTTCTCACAGATTGCTTTAGCTATTTCTATATTTGCATGTGAAAGGAAAAAAGATCTTTTATCATTCTTTGGACAGCTCTGTTAGTATAATTATTGGGTTATATAAGCTTTAATTTTATGACTAAACAACATGGAATTGGTATAATACAATACGTAAATTATATTTATATCTTTCTATCCAAATTATGGTTTTCATTCTGATAAAATGAACGATGATAGCTGTTCTTTTTCAGTACATAGTCGTGGTTGTTTCAAAACTAGTGCTGGATATTTTAGTGCAAAGTCAATACTCAATATTTCGGGTATTCATTTGGAAATTCTGACTGAGATGCACATAGAGTAGTAGAACGATATTAATTTATCAGTTTAGTAAGAATTGGGCAGCATTATTCCTACACTCTTTTCAGTAAAATAGAGAAAAAAGTAATGTATAAAGAAAGAAAAATGCTATCAGAAGTAATAAGTGTGAGAAGTGAATGTTTTCTAAACAGTTTTTGCCCGAAAATGAATGAATTATAATAACACTTTTTTTAATGGAAAAGTATGAAGTGTAAGTGAATAACATTTTCTGCTATTATTATTTTGCTGGGAAGGAGTGAGAGAGTGAAGCTGATAGAGTGGAGTATTTGTTGAATTGTGGTCTTTATATCATGTATATATAAATTTAGATTTCATATTTTACGTATTGGCAAGAAATTAATTGTGATATGTTTTTGGGGTTATCTATTTGCAAGTCACTTGAGAATTTGATGCAGTCTAATAACTATTTCATCTTTGTAATTCTTTTAACATATCTTTTTTGTTGCTAGTTTGGTTCATCATTCTTTCCATTTTGAAATTGACATAACATGATTGACATAACTGCATCCCAGTGTCATTATTGTTGAGTGAATACTGTATTGCTTGTTGAATAGGCGAAACTATACCTCAGTCTTATTTCTTTCATTGCGCTGTAATTGCATATAATCATAATTAAAAAATAATTTAATTCATACACATTACATTGTGTACAATGGTTAGTATCGTAAATTAAAAACAATTATAAATGAGCAGTAAGTTTTCTAAAATTTTCTTCGCATTTCATCTTCATTTGATCATTACTTCATTATTTTTGTCGTTGTCAGTTTGTTCATATTATGTTTTAGTGAATTCTTTTCATAGATCATGTCAATAGTAGAATTAGATTTTAGTTTTTTTCTTTGTTTTTGATTCCAGAACTTGTTTTCAAAGCGCGAGAGTGTTAACCTTTGAACTTCAACTTGCAATTACCTCAAACTTGAGTAGTATAATATCACAGTCTTCAACAAGCTATTTGCAGCTTTGATCGCTAGCAAATTTGTTGAAGGTAATAATCGTATAAGCTATATGTAATTGTAGATATTACATTATCATAATTAAATTTTTCGTTGGATTTAAATATTGTATAGATGGATAACTTAAAGTATTTCCTTGTCAGTTTCAATAGATGCGTAGGCGTTATTTGGAGCTTATTTCGTTGGTTGTAATTAATATCTAATCTTAACTGTGTTTCTTCGTGGAGAAGATTTAAAGAGCTAAGTATAAAATTTGGTTTGTTTTTTATCTCCTCGTTATCAACAAGGGGAATTTAAATATTTTTCTTGCCCGACTAGTTTCAAGCTGTATGTTTAAATTATATTTTTGTAGAATGACACCACAATAATCAGATTCGAAAAATATTAATATTCATCTGAACGCACAACACTTTTTCAGCCCTAGTTCTGTAAATTACCTTGTTATAGGGGCTAAGTTTTTTAACTTCAATTTTTGCCTTGTCATCTTTTGTAAAGAAGTTAACTGTCCACGTACAATGCTTTGCATAGCGTACCTTTTTAAATACAGTTATTACTTTTATTTTTTAGTACTATTTTTCTCCTTCATTTTGTAGATATTGTAAATAATACATGATACAACTTTTCAATTGAAGCACGTTGCGGGTTTGAAATCAGCAAAAGAAGGGTTAATTGACCACTTTCGTCTTCGCCATCATATTGTCGTGCAACGGACCTACGAGTAGACATGGCTGTAAGAATTGATGGTATGCAGTTGGATGTATCGAAGATTGACCTGATATCTCGTTTACCTCCTGAGCAAGAATTACTATCTGCTTTTGAAGAAGTTTTGGTAGTTTGGTTCATTCTCATCTCTATTTTCACAAAACCTACCCATGTTATAGTATATGTTTTTCTGGTAGTCATTGTGTTCAGTTATTAACGGTTTTCAATCTGTTTACGAATATTTACGTGATATGCACCTATGGTTTGATTTGGACACCATATAAGATATTAAATTGATAGAAATTAGTATTAATAGGAGTGTACGTAATATGCATGCAATTGTAGCTCTTTTAAATGTGTTTCAATAAAATTCATTTAGGTAGAGAATTGAAAAGATTTTGAACATTTCTAAAAGTAAAATTTCTGAATCTCAAAGTTTTCTTAAAAACTTTACAGAATAAAATGGATTTACCTCCGGATAAGATGCGAATTTTAAGAAGTTATGATTTGAGCAAGAAGTGGGAATTAGTCTGTGATCAGGTTCGCTTTCAGCGTCTTTTATTTTTGTTAATCGCCAGTATTTACATATCGCTGAATTATAAATTACAGAAATCATTATACTGGTCGAAAGTAAATGAGACATGTTTCCAAGTATTTTGAACCAATTTTTATCAAAACACTGTAGAATAGAGTCTGGTTTGAGAGCAAGAAGTAACATTGTATATATTCTTTATATAATGTTTCTTTATACTGCATATTAAGTATCTTAATTTGCAATGGATTATTCTTTAAAGAATTTGATTTCGATGATTACTCTATTTTTTTTTCATTCCTTGTTATGTGAATTATTATAAACACCTTTTATCGCTTTTCCAGAAAAAAATGTATGCAGTAGCAGATCCATCCGTCTATCTCGAAAAGCTTGTGCTTTATTTAAATCGGAGAGCATCTAAAAAAGTAGGACTTGTTTTTGGTGTGAATTAAACCACTTAAATCAATTTTTACGCACATTCTGTGTGCAAAAATTATTATTTTAATGAAGGAAGAGTGAACTGTTCACTCTTATGACTTATAATAATCTTGCGAGCATAAATACTTTGTTTCAATATTTTTAATCATTTTTGGGAGTGAAGAGCAGAAAGCTCATAACAAAAGTAATAGCATGAACCAAGTATCTATCTTTAGATAAGGAATTTTTTTAGTCTTGCACTTTTTATTCTTGTGGCTATAGGAATCTTCAGTGTTCTTTCCTGGTAAAAATGCATCACGTTTTGTTATGAAATCCATTAATATATTGTAAAAACAAACTGCAGAGAAAAAAACTACTGGGTGATGAGACGTCAACAAACATATTGAAGCATATTGAAATATCACTCCGTACAAATAGTATCGAGTAGGTCAACTTTTTTTGTGAATGGAAATATCTACGTACTTATGGTTTATTAATAGCCAAAGTGTTTAATAAATGTATTCGTGGAATGAAAGCTGAAGTGTTTTGAAAACTATATTGAAGAGATTTACATTTTAGTTGGGTACGAATGTTTTTAAATGAACAAAACAATGGATTAAGTATTTTAATTGACTATTTGACACAACTTCAGGAAGATGGAAGCTGGGGAAGGTAATACTTTTGTATAATCATTGTGCAAAATTGTTTATCTTTATTCATGATTTAGTAGGTTTCAAAATGCTATAAGGAGATAAGTTTGATCATATACTTTTGCAGTTGCCCTGCTGACTTGAATCAAGATGGAGCGTCATCAAGTGATGCATTTTCAAATTCGATTGCAGTGCAAAGTCAAACTTCAGTAGTTCCATATTCCGCAGAAAATGGATGTTTTTTGGACGAGCGAGTAACGGGTGGTTTGTTTAGACGAACAACGAGTGTAACTAAAAAAAACTCTAGAAATTATGGCGACCGTGATGACGATGTGCATGTATGTGTGAGCTGTTTACGAGCTATCATGAATAACAAGGTAAGCAATCGTCTGAGATCAATATAGCGTGTTTAGATTATTGCCTTAGAAATTTTTTGTAATTCATTTGTGAAGTTAGAAAAGGTGTGGTTTATAATATGTGTAGTTTCTTCGAAAATGAATACGACTGAGCTTTGATGTGTTATGGTTTCAGTACGGGTTCAACATGGTCTTTAGTAATCCTCAGGCAATTTATTGCATAGCGCGAAGTATTCTTCATCAAAGTTTGCGGTATGTTTCAAGCTAATGTTTTTGTCCTTTTTCTAGTCACAAATCGTGCTCCTGTTCTTTCGACACTAATTTCTTTTAAAACAAATAGTATAAATGAATTTTTTCAGCCTATGTCAAATGAGCTTTATATAATAGAGCATAATAAGTTTCTTATTTTTTATTATATGAGTCGTGAATAATGTTCACAGATTAAATGCACGGGCTATTTAGTCAGGCAGAGTTTTCCAATTATTGGAGCTAATCACTGAATCATTCATAGCTGTTTATCAACTCTATGAAAAGCTAATTATTCAGGACAAAAGCTTTGGCATTGGAATTACTTGCAGCAATATGTCTTGTGAGTGGTGGACATGATTTAATAATCACTGCATTTAATCGCTTCCGAGCAGTAGGTTATTTCAATCTCTGTTATTTGAAATGTTCGATACATAGCTTTGTTTTTTCCAGGCTATTTTTTGATAGTCCATGTACCTAAGTTCTTTGCATAGATTTTCATGCATGAAAAATATTTCCTTCTAATCATTACTTTACAAAAAAAGATCTCAATGATGAATTATCCGAAGTAACTTAGTTTAGTAATAGAACAACTATTAGTTGTTCTACTGCTTGTGACATCTTGCTTAATGAAAAGATCTTTTATTTGTAATTAATGATGCTCGTAAATTTTATCATGTTTTCTCTCTCTTGTCGCTTGTAAACACTGCGAAAGTAGTGGTAACTTTTTGTATCTAACTGATTATTTAAAAGGTTGGAGTCATTATTTTTGGTTGTTCATATTAGTAGAACATATTCACACCAATTTTTCACCAATGTACTGCCAAGAACTACCAGATTTTTAGGAATATAAAGAGACATATCGATTCCAGCTACTTTTTACATATTTTGTTAAACCGCCGGAATTTAATGTTGATTTTATGACATCTTGTATGCAATTTTTTAATATTGTGGTACATTCTACCGAAAGCATGAACTACCGAAGTTATCTACAATATGAGCTCACCCTTCTTGGTCTCGATCAATATTTAGAGGTGTATTTTGTTTTACATGAAATTAATTTCTTTTCCTGCTTGAAGTTTTTAAGAAAAGAATTAGATGACGCGACTATATATATGACTTTTGGTGAGTACAGGATCAGTTAGTTATAAATTTTAATATGGTTTTGAATAATTTATACTATTTATTACAGTTTAATCCAGCCTACAGTCCGCAGTTAAAAGTAATGTTTGATTTATTTATTGATTCTAATAATTTGTAGTTTTCATGGCAGATACATCTTGGTGTGAATATATTCATATACTTTTTAGGTGTTACGAAGTACTGAGTGTGAACAGTTACAAACGCATATAGATGCATATTTGGATAATAAAATTGATGTGCACTTTTTACTTGATGAAACAGATAAAAAAACTGAACTGGAAGCCCAAAACTGCCGTCTCAGTGATGAATTATCCAAAGTAACTGAGTTTATTTAGTTTCTTCTAGAGACTGAAGCATCAGTATATTGCTACTATATTCAATTTTAGTTTTAAGCACGGGAGTTTACAAATACGTCATGTATTTATTTGCGTTATTGCAGATCATGGAGAGATTACAAGTAGTTGAGGCAGATTACATCGCTCGTTTAGCACACCTTGATCGTCGTTTGAAGGAGTTAAATGCAGAAAAGGAAAAGCTGCTTAGGGAGCATGACTCGACTTTGAACACCATGAGAAGAACATTAAATGAAAAAGATAAAGCAAGTCGAGAGCAGCAGTCGAAATTGGAGTCTAGAATTCAAGAATTGGAAAGAATGCAAGCAAACATGAAAGGTTAGAAAAGAAAAGCCATATATTTCCAATAAAAAAACGCCTATATTTCAATATTTTATATCATTTTTGTAGAGCTTTTTTTTATTATTTGATGAGCTCAGCTAACTTCTTATTATCATTTTAACAGCAGTCTTACGAATTAGTAAGTTTTTTAAATATTCTGCACTTCTTTTTCATAGATCACCAAATGGTTATTTAAAGGAAAAGATTAAATTTTTTCCTTCGTTTTGTGTGAAATTTAAAACAAACGGTTGCTTATTCTCAATATTTCATGCGTAAATAATAAACATCCGTTTTCTGTTAATTTTTGTCCAAAGATTTGTAGTAGTTCTTATGTTTGCAGCAGGTTTAATTGAAGCCAAAAAAGAACATGTACCTGTGGCAAATGCGCCAAGTCCACCACCTCCCCCACCAGGACCCCATCAAGAACCAGCACTAAATCGATTTCCACCACCTCCTCCTCCACCTCAGAACACATTTATTGATAAAACTCCTCCTCCTCCGCCTCCTTTAAATTTCATTAAACCGCAGTTATCTTCTAAACTCTCTCCTTCTGCTAGTGATATTGTAACCATCAAAAAAATCCACAGCACTAGGTATTCATTTTCTAACCCTTCTTACACTTTACTTAAAATTTTTTGAAGTCGTGTAAAATGTTGGAGTATTAGTTTTTTATTTAAGAGCATTTACCATGTTCTTGAAAAACAGATGTGGTGGAATTCGTTCCATAACCTTTATTCAGGAATAAATTGCCCTTGTTAAACTGGTGTCCCCTGAAGCCTAATCAGGTGAAAGATACAGTATTCAGCAATCTTGATGATGAGAAAATTATGGATGTAAGTTAATTTCTGAAAGTTGTTTCACTTGAGGAAAGTTTTAGTAATTTTGACTTGTTTTATTCACAAAATTTTAATTATGCTCACTAGTTCGATATGTTGATTGTAATGACAGCTGAACCAATTTAAGTTAGGGTTTTGTTCAATAGCAAATTCTCATTTGTTCAAACATCTTTTTCAGAAAATTGATTTCACTGTTTTGGAAGATTTCTTCAAGATTGGATTTTCTAAACGTCCTGATGCAACTGAATCATGTCCACCAAAGCAGAACACATCAAATATTGCTAATTCCAATGTTATGAATAAGAAAAATACAATTTTGGACACTAAACGTCTGCAAAACATCGGTTCGATTTTTTCAGTCTTGTTGACATTGCAATTATATTTATATTTATTACTCCAACTATTTGTAATCAGTTTTTGTACGGTTTTATTCTTTTTTTTATTGCTTTATTCTTTTTTTTATTACTAGATATCTTTGGCTCAGATCGAGGTTCGTTTACTGTTTATTAATCTCTATTTTTTTTCAAGAAAGCAGATTTAAAAAAAACAATAGATATGATAGCTAAGAAAAAGGAACGATGTATGACGTGCTGATAATAATTTGTACTAGGTTGTTTTATTTCTTCATCCTCTGTTGTATAAATGTTTGGTATCAATTTATAAACAAATCTGAGTCTTTCAGGTTTTTATTTCAGAGTGCTTTTATTTCAGCAATAACGTGCCGAAAATTGGCCCTTAGTGCACCCGCAATTATGTCTGCTGTGCACCGAATGGATTTGAAAGCACTCACTCCGGAAAGTGTCGATATTTTAATGAAGATTGCTCCTACTCATGAGTAACCATTTTATTTTTAAATTGGCTTGGCAATTTATACGAGTAGAAATAATTTGCTGAGTAGACAGATGCTATTCTATGATTTTCATTGGGTTGATAATTTCTTGTAGACTTCAGGATTTACAAAATTTTTTGATTTTCAGGGAAATCATCAAGTTCAAAGAATATGAAATAGAACACAAGAACTTCTCTGATCTTTCTGAAGAAGACCAATTCCTTGCACAATTAGTGAAAATTGAACGATTCGAGCATAAAATAAAAATTATGTCCTTTATGGCAACTTTTGATGAAAGTGCTGATTTGCTGGAACCGGTAACTCTTCCGTTTTCTAATGTGTTAATCCTTACAATCGATTTGCATTAGTGACATGAGTTTGATGATGAAAATGGTGCTATGTAAAACTGTTGTTCTGAAAGTGCAATCTTTTAATGCGCAATTTTGCAGCAATTCGTTAATTTGATAGCTGCTTCAAAGTGTGTGCGAGAGGCAACAAAGTTTCACCAGTTGCTGGAGGTGTTGCTTGCATATGGTAATTACATGAACAGTGGACGGAAAGGAGGTGTATATGGATTCAAATTGTCTAGTTTAGATACGGTATTTGTCATTCACTTCCTGCAAAAGCGAAATAAAATAGCATTGCATTCTAATTCCAATATATTTTTGTTGCTTAGGAAAGGTGTTATTCAAAATTGCTTGTTTTTTCGATATAACTTACTTGACAGAATTTTTGCAGCTATATGGTTTGAAGAGTTCAGTGGAACGATCACTCTCATTACTCCACGTTATTGCTAAAACAGTTTCTCATAGTTTCCCCGACTTATTGAATTTCGCTGATCAACTAAAGTTTGCAGATAAAGCTAGTACAAGTAAGTTTTGATTTTTTTTAAATGCACGAAGTCTAGTATCTTGCACTTACTCTCTTAAAAGCATATTTCTTTTATTATTTCATTTTCTGATGTCATGTTTTTTTTTCTTCTGTTAAATATTGGCAGAGCCGAGAAGCCAAATATATATATATATATGTACGGCTCTGCCGAGTTGTCGAGTAGTTGAACCGTCAGCTAGTCGGTCCCGTCACAAAGCAGGAAAGCAACAAGAGGCGGATAAATGGGGAAAAACCGAGCTTTGAATCACAAGTGGAAAACAGGTGAGGTTGTTAAAGAAAGTTCCGTAAACGTCATGGGAATCAGTAGACCAGTGTACCATAACTAGCATAGCTGAATGCCCTGCGAGCATAGCAAGAGTACCGGAACACGACTCAGTGCGACAAACAAGAAGAAACAAAGAAACCTCCATC